ATTTGGCTATTGTTGAGAGTGCTGCTATGAACATTGGGGTACAAGTGCCCCTATGCATCAGTACTCCTGTGGCAGTTTCTTTCTTAATACCATTATTTTAATTTGTAATTCACTAATGACATATGATGTTGAACATCTTTTCATGGGGTTACTTGCTATCTGTAGATCTTCTTGGGTGAAGTATTTGTCAAGGTCTTTTGCCAATTTAAAATCAGGTACTGTGATTTCTTACTGTTGAGTTTTAGTGGTTCTTTGTGTATTTTGGATAACAGTCCTTTATGAGATATATCTTTTGCAAATACTTTTTTCCAGTCTGTGGCGGGCGTATCTTTTCTTTGTTTTGACATGGTTTTTCACAGAGCAGTTTTTAATTTACTGAAGTCCAGCGTGTCACTTACTTCTTTCATGAAATGTGCCTTTGTGTTGTGTCTGAAAAGTCATAATCATATCCAAGGTCATCTGGGTTTTCTCCTATGTTATCTTCTAGTTTTCCATACAGATCTGTGATCCATTTTGAGTTAATTTTTTTGAAGGTCTGTCTCTAGATTAAAAAAAAAAATTTTTTTTTAATGTTTATTTAAAAAAATTTTTTTTAATGTTTATTTATTTTTGAGACAGAGAGAGACAGAGCATGAACAGGAGCGAGTCTGAGAGAGAGGGAGACACAGAATCTGAAATAGGCTCTGGACTCCGAGCTGTCAGCACAGAGCCCGATGCGGGGCTCGAACCCACGGACCGCGAGATCATGACCTGGGCCGAAGTTGGACGCTCAACCGAGCAACCCAGGCGCCCCTTAATGTTTATTTTACAGAGAGAAAGAGCACAAGTTGGGGAGGGGCAAAGAGAGAGAGGGAGACACAGAATCAGAAGCAGGCTCCAGGCTCTGAGCTGTCAGCTCAGAGCCCGGCATGAGGCTTGAACTCATGAACTGCAAGACCATGACCTGAGCTCAAGTGGGAAGCTTAACCAACTAAGCCTCGCAGGCGCCCCTAGAATTTTTTTTTTTTTTTTGGATGTACATGTCCATTTGTTACAGCATCATTTGTTGAAAAGGCTGTTGTCGGGGCGCCTGGGTGGCTCAGTCAGTTAAGCGGCCGACTTCGGCTCAGGTCATGATCTCACAGTCCGTGAGTTCAAGCCCCGCGTCCGGCTCTGTGCTGACGGCTCAGAGCCTGGAGCCTGTTTCGGATTCTGTGTCTCCCTCTCTCTGACCCTCCCCTGTTCATGCTCTGTCTCTCCCTGTCTCAAAAATAAATAAAAATGTTAAAAAAAATTTTTTTTGAAAAGGCTGTTGTTGTTCCATTGTATTGCCTTTGCTCCTCTGTCAAAGATTAGTTGACTTGGGCACCTGGCTAGCTAAGTTGGTGGAGTATGCGATTCTTGGGCTTGTAAGTTTGAGCCTCATATTGGGTGTAGAGGTTCCTTAAAAATAAAATGAAAAAAAAAAAAAGATGACTATATTTATGTGGGTCTATTTCTGGTGTCTGTCCTGTTCGATTGATCTATTTGTCTATTCTTTCACTAAAACCATACTGTCTGGATTACTATTAGCTTTATACTAAGTCTTGAAAGTTGGATAGTATCAGTCTTGAACTTCAATATAGAGTTGACTGTTCTGGGTCTTCTGGCTTTCCATAGAAACTTCATAATCAGTTTTTCCATATCTACAAGATAACTTGCTGGGATTTTGATTAGGAATATATTGAATCTGTAGGTCAAGTTGGAAAGAACTGACATCTTGATGATATTAAGGCTTTATATCCATGAGTATGGATTATTTCTCTAATTACTTCTGCTTTAATATCTTTGATCAGAGTTGGGTAGTTTTCCTCATACAGATCTTGTACTTCTTTTGTTAGATTTATACCTAAGTACTTAATTTTTTTTGGGTGCTAATGTGAATGAAAATGTGTGTGTGTGTGTGTGTGTGTGTGTGTGTGTGTGTGTGTGTGTGTGTTTTAATTTATTTGTTTTTAAGAAGGCTCTACACCCAATGTGGATCTTACACTCACAATCCCAAGATCAACAGTTGCTTGCTCTACAGACTAAGCCAGCCCCTTTTGTACAGTTTTAGGTTGTTCAAATAATACTTTATATGTATATATATTTTTCTATTTAAAATAATTTTTTATTATTTATTAACATTTATTTATTATTGAGAGACAGCATTAGCATGGGAGGGGCAGAGAGAGGGGGAGACACAGAATCCCAAGCAGGCTTTAGGCTCTGAGCTGTCATCAGAGCCTGAGAAGGGGCTCGAACTCACAAACTGCAAGATCATGACCTGAGCCAAAGTCAGATGCTTAACTGAGCCACTTAGGTGCTCCTATTTTTTATTTTTTAAGTAAACTCTGTACCGCTCACGGGGCTCAAACTCATGACCCCAAGATTAAGCGTCACACGTTCCTACTGACAGAGGAACCTCCTTTGCTTTCCTCCCTTATGTATGGAGGAACCTCCATACTGTTTTCCACAGTGGCTACACCAGTTTGCATTCCCACCAGCAATGCAAAAGAGATCCTCTTTCTCCACATCCTCACCAACATCTGTTGTTGCCTGAGTTGTTTATGTTAGCCCTTCTGACGGGTGTGAGGTGGTATCTCGTTGTGGTTTGAATTGTATTTTCCTGATGATGATTGGTGTTGAGCATTTTTTCATGTGTTGGTTTGCCATCTGGATGTCTTCTTTGGAGAAGTGTCTATTCATGTCTTTTG